AGCCGCTAGTGCCTCTCTCTCTATCTGTGCGTATCTGGATTCCGTTTCGGACATTTTTCGTGATGCATAGGAGACGGGTTTCCAAGTGCCATCTTTTTGCTCTTGTTCCAGTACGGCTCCAAGACCGAATGACGATGCGTCGGCTGCTACTCTTGTGTTGCTGTTAGGAGAAAAGTGAGATAATACCGGTGCTGAAGTTAATGCGATTTTTATGGCTTCTAGTGCCGCCTGTTGCCTTTCTGTCCAACAAAATTCATATTTTGTAGATAAAAGTTGCGATATGGGGCTTGCTATGTTAGCCAATTCTGGTAAAAATTTTGCATTTACTTGCAATGTGCCGAGCAGTTGTCTCACGCCGCTGACATTCTTTGGTGCTGGCATCTCGAGTACGGCTTTGACTTTGTCTTCATCGATTCCCACGCCTTCTTTGGAGATCGTGTAACCTAAGAATTTCACTTTTTTCTTTCCAAAGACACACTTCTCCTTGTTCAGTCTTAACCCTCTTTGTTTCAAGCGCTCTAATACTTGGGCCAAACGCTGGTCATGCTCTGCCTTGGTTTTCCCGAAGATTAGCATGTCGTCCGCTATGTTGACCACGCCTTCTAGGCCTTCTAGTGTTTCCATCATCTCTCTTTGGAAGCGTTCTGTGGCTGACGTGATGCCCATCGGAAGCCTTTGAAAAGCGTAGCGTCCAAATGGCGTTATAAAAGTCGTTAATAACTGAGAGTTTGTGTCTAAAGGAATGTGATAAAATCCTGATGCTGCATCGAGCTTTGAGAAATATTCCGCCTCTGCTTCAATTAGAGCCAGGGATTCGGATATCTGAGGTAGAATCATGCGTTCTGATTGTACTGATTTATTGAGAATAGTATAATCGACGCATATTCGAACGCTGTTGTTTTTCTTGGGTACGACGACCATAGGCGCACACCAGTTTGTTGCCACACTGACCTTTCTTATGATGCTTTCATTCTCTAATTTGTCGAGATGCTTTTTAACTGCGTCGCGTAGATGTAACGGTACCCGTCGTGCTGCCGCTATTGCGAAAGGTACAGCGTTTTCTTTAATTTTAATGTGGTACGTTTTGCCTAAGTTTCCTATGCCTTCGAACAAAGTAGGAAATTGCTCTGCTATCGACGCCACATTTGCCCAGGATAGCATGCCCAATGTTTCCAACGCGTCGCGGCCCAATAAATTCTCGCGCAATTTCTTTGCCACGTAAATTTTTTCGAGAGATTTGCGATTCCGATACCGGAGATCTGCGTCAAACGTTCCTACAATTTGGATTTTATCGCCCGAGGCTGATATAAGTGATTTTGGTGCGTCTACGAGTGTTGTTTTGTTTAATTTTTTGAGATCGTCCCATCTTATCACCGTAACGTCCGCGCCGCAATCTAATTTAAAATCTAGATTTGTGTCGTTAACATTAACGATCGCGCGCCACGGTTTTTTGGGTTTTGACGTGTCGATCGATCCCATAAAAAAATTGTCTTCCTCATCTGGTGCCGTTTCTACGCTCGCAATCTTTGGGTTTTGTCTATTGTTTACTTTAGATAAGCATCTAGTGGACCAATGTCCTATTTTGCCGCATTTTTTACAAGTGTCGTTTCTCGAAGGGCACGACGCAAACGCGTGGCGAGGAATGAGGCCGCATTTTCTACATGATTTGGTGTCATTTTTGTAGTCAGCTGTCCTAACGTGGGGATTTGGTCGCTGCATATGGGGTTTCTGTTTTGGTATGGCACCTCTGCTGTGGTAGATGGCGCTAACCTCTTCCGGTTCCGTTACGCTTTGAGTTGGCGCATTGGCTGGAGCTGGTGCGCTTGCCCGAATTACGGCTTGTTGTTTACGGAGTGATTCTGCCAACCTAACGCGTTTGATTACCTCGTCTACGTTGTCATCTGGCCTTGTTTGCAATTGGATCGACAACCGACTATCTGCCAAACCCGCGATAATTCGCAATTTGATCATCTCCCCTTCTAATTGAGCCCACTCGCACGTTTGGGCCATAGCGGTTAGATCGCTTATAAATATATCGCAGGGTTCATCAGAACCTTGCACCCTTTGAAGAAATTTGACCCTTTCGTAGACTAAATTTTTCCTTTCGCCGAAATATGCGTCGAATCTTTCTAAAACGATAGCGAAGTTTTTTTGATCTTCCGTCGAAAGGTGAAATGACTTTAGAATTTTCTCCGCTTTAGTACCCAGATGCCCGATGAAATAATCGACCGTTTGCTCACTGGAGCAGCTGACTAACATGGTGCGTTTGTAGCGATAGAAGCTGCATTTCCATTCAGCCCATTCTTCCGCTTTATAAGAAAAAGTCGGTGGGGGCGGGACCGATGGATTAGGTACAGCTACCGTTGCCGCGTTATTCGTTGTCGCGGCAGATAACGTCATTTGTTGCCGCTGTAGTTCCAGTAGCTGCGTAAGTATTTGTTGTTGACGTGCAAAATGTTCTGCATTAATGTCCTTATGCGAGGGGTCATTGTGTGTAGCGTTATCGTTCGTCATTTTGTTATGATTAGATTGGGCGTATTATAAAACTTTTGCCGTATAAATGCCGATTGTTGCGAGAAAATGAAAGAAGTTATTACTTACAGTTTCTCCACATATTCCTTGCGTATTTACACTCACTTTGTTTTATAATCGCTATCGTTTCGCTTTTGTTTCGCGTGTGTAAGTTCGTCACCGATTAAAAAAACGCACTAGTTTTTGTATCGCGTGTACGTACCTTTACCGATACCCGAAACAAAAAACCAATCTCACCGTTGTCACCATGTAGCGTTGTCGCTTACCTTGTTTACCCCGCGCGCGCGTCACTCGAAGTCCCTCGTCGTGGCTCTTCTCGAGCTGTCTCCCCTTGGCTCGCATGCGCACGGTCACACCATATACCACAGAAGAAATTAATATCTCAATCCCCAAATGAACAAAGAAAATGCAAGTGACGTTGACGTTACAAACTAACACAATAAACTCGAAAAAAGCTCTTAAACACGAACCCATCGCCTAAACATAACACCACTATAAACACACATGACACAAAGGGTGTAAAAATGGCAGCGCCCATGAGGTCGCACCCTTTCTTGGATGCGCACTCGTCGATCACCGATCTCCTCTCTCCATGTCTCTGCATCGGAAGCGCACAAACGTGGATTACGTACGTTTAGCAATGTTTGTTGTTATTTTGTGTTTTTTAATGCAGGTAGTAATCTTTGTATTTCTTTATATCGTATTTGTGTTTTGTGTGCCACATTTTATATTTTTTGTGTGTTTGAATCTTTGTTTCTGAAATTTACTTGGTTTAACCCCAATGCAGAATCACATATGTGATACCGTTATGCTATTGTTTGCAATTGTTTACGTTTTTGGTGTAATGCTTGCTTAATTTATGTTTATTGATGTTGATTACTTGGTCTTGTCGCTGAAGTAACATTCATATAAGTTTTGATCATTTAATTTTTTTAATATGTGAAAGTTACCGATTCGGTTGATGTATGTACTGACTTGTCGTTTGTAACTAACAATTTTCTCCGTGAATGAAGCAGTCACGGGGGTGGTACAAAATGTAGCCAAAATTGAGTTACGATACCTAATTCCGTGATTGTCTTCGATATTCAACTGTAGGCTCGAAACCAGGGGTGGGTTGCCTATCTTGCCGGAGCGGGATTACGCTAATCAAAGCTCTTCAGTTTAGAATCTATGTGCGATAAATGAGTGGCGATTCAATAATTTCCACATATCTTGTTTTTAGTTAAATTTGCCATGTAATTATCCATCTTGCTTTTAACAAAAGGACTTTATTGCACCAAAGATGAGTCACATCCTGTGTATTTCACCCTTTCTTAGAATCTTGGTATCTGCTTACCGGACCCATAATTCTCAAAACTTGTTTTTAACCTATATGTTACCTCTTGAAGATTATCTGTTACTTTTTGTGATGTTATAATTTTATGTTACGCATTCACATCATTACAAACAATTAATTTTATAACAAAATTTGATATTAATTTGACGGCTGGTTTTTTTATTGGTAAGTTCTTTTTTCCCAGTCTATTTCTATTTTTATTCGGTGAACTACCATTTTCAAAGTTTATTTTTGCAATGTAATTTATTTCAACTTAAATTTTCGAGCTTTAACAATCTTAATAATTGCGATCGTTATTAAACAAACTTTTCACCATTCAGGTGCAGATATCTTTAATAGGACAATAGTGTCCGGCTATATAGTGTCACCCTGTATAATAATCGACCAGCTGTCGCGTTGCACACACCACACTGTATACGTTTAAAGTAAACTATTTTATTTGTTCCTTCTCACTTACAAATTTATTATTTATTTATGGTGAATGTGTGTTTAAACATTTTTTGTAATCTAAGTGATAAGAAATTTGAACAATAATTGGTCAGCTGAAATCGTAAATTACTTGGAAAAATGTACAGCTGTTGTACTTTTTTTATCAGAAGAAAAGATCTGTATGAACCACCTCAGCACACCAGATTCAGAACGAAATGATTAGCCACAAATAACCATTGGTTTTATTGTATTTAGTTATTTGTGTTGAAAATGCCGCAAGATCTGCGACCTCGTGAAAGATACTCGCCATGGGTAGGTATGATTAAAGATCTGTAAAATATAAAAAGGGATGTTTTAGGTCGGCTTAATTTATGTCTTCAATTTAATTGTTGGAACTGGCGCTTTGACACTGCCTTCTGTGTTTTCGGGGGCGGGCTGGTTGTTTAGTACAATGTTTTTAATTTTATTTGCCTTTTTTGGATTTGTTACTGTTACTTTTATTATCGAATCGATTGCGTGTGCAAATGCAGCGATATATTGGAACCAAATACAATCTCATCGTGTGGATGGTGTAAGTACAACTAAAGATCATAGTGCACTAGATAGGCAAAGTTGTTTTGCATCGAGGGGCAATTTTGGTTTATGAATTTTTATTTTTAAGTGGACAAGAGTTTTTGCCAATGCACAATTTACAACTCGCACTCACATTTACATAACTTCAATGCTCAAATACGAATTCGAACTGAGGACCCCCTTGGCCATAGAAAAATTGTTATACAACTTGACATGTACAGGGTGCTTCAAATTCTTGGGTCACCATTGGGATCTCTGTAACGGTGAGAGACAATCTAGGTTAAATGGGAGCAAAGTCGACCATTTTTGTGACTAAAAAAATGTGAACTTTTTTTAAGATCTTTGAAAATAATGCAGATATCACCAGAAAACTGAAAAAGTCAAAATTTCGTTTTCATTTTCCCTAGCTTAAACGAACAGAAATGGATGGTTTCTGTTGGCTCCTTCTTCGGGCACTTTTTATTGAAGAATCTGAATCTGTTATCAGAATTTCTGTAACACGCTAAATGTAGAAGTTAAAGGCTATCACTTACTTATTTCTTATATACGCCATGTTGGATTTTTACGGAATGAGATAGAGAACAAATAAAGAAATTCATTTGAATGCATCACCATCATAGCCATGTTGATTCAGCAAGATCTAATTACCCATTGAATAAGACATCAGTCGCCTGTAGCTTCTACTCAGCATGCTATGGGAATTCCGATAATAGATTCAAATTCTTAAAAAAAAAAGTACCCATAGAAGGTGCTAACGGGAACCGTCCATTTCCAACCATTTGAACTAGAGAAAATACGGTGATATTTCAGTTATTTTCAAAGATTTTTCAAAAATTTCAAAAGCGTTTTTTTAATCACAAAAATGAGCAACTTTGCCCCCTAACCTTGAGATGTCTATATCCCTTTAAATACCCTGTATAATTCAACGTCGGATGCAACCGGTCAAGTAGTTGGAGATTCTGGGGACATGAGCCATCGCCATCGATATTTTTTTGTAATTTCTGTTTGGGATTTGGGGACTTGGCGTCACTTGTTGATTGTTAAAGCTTGTTGGTGGTGGGATTATTGCATTTTGAGTTGTATTCATAGAGTTTAGCTTTGTGTTTGTGCGTAAGATTCAACCACTTTGGTGTCGAGTAAAGTATTTTATGTAGTTTACTCTTATGTACTTATCTGAATTGTGCCATTTGTTAAATCAGACATTTTCCATCTACCATTGTGCTAATATGTAATTTACAACATGCGAGGAGTTAACTAATATCCATGTGTTTGTGGAAGTCTACGATATCTCAGGTTTAGACCATGTTTAACTCAGTTACACAGTCTGGGGTTTATACCAATGTCATTATGTAGAAACTGAGCATAATTGGGAGCTCCACGAGCACACTGTGTATTGTCATAACTGCCTATTGTTACGTCACAACATGAATAATAGATCAGACATGTTTTTACAAACTTCACACCACTCTATTCGGTATATAATGAGATGAATAACTAGTAAGGTGACTTATATCAATAAATGCATGAATGTGTTGCCCCTAACAATATAACCGTGAAACAGGAGGGCAATCAAGCGAAGACGTTGGTCCAAACCTAACGAATAACCAATGACTAACTAAAAAGTGAGTTGCCTTCTAGCCGCGATTAAAGGGAAGTACATGACATGTTGTGACGAATACTCTACGCATACTGTTCAAACGTACCCTGCTACTTGAATTCATTCATTAATTAAGGCGGTGTTACGTGTTCTGGTTAGGTGGTTGGTGTTGTAATTTGCTTGTGATTTACATAGTTTGGGTTTTATTCAAGGCCAAGGTTTTTTCTCAAGTCGCGCTCTTTTTCTCCTTGGTAGTCTGCTTTTGCGAGAGTGCGGCACCTTTAGGTTTTGCTTGCTTTGCTTTTGATGTACCACATCCAAATTCCCGGGTTTTCAGAATAAGTTTATAATAAATAAACTCGCAGACATTACAGCGTTTTATTTGAGTGTTCCTGCCCGACTGGGTCCCGACTCATTGTATTAGCTTCGTGTAACGTAAGGGGGCCCTACCTTAGACGATCCAATCACGTGCCATTCTTTTGTTCGAAATTTGAGCGGGAACCGTGTTTTGATACTGGGATTGCAACGTTGCCACTTTGCCGTGAAATCTCATCTTCACTTCGAGCCTGGGGTGGGTTAAGATCAGTACAACCTACACAGTATCTACCACCGTTATGGAGATCCCAATGGTGATCCACGAATTTGAATCACCCTGCACACTTAAAATAAACCTCTGATAAAAAACAACCTTTAAAATCACTTAAAAATCTTTTTTACTCAAATTAAAATTTTGTGCCGAGTTCTTCTAAATGAATGTGTAAAGCACAATGTGCACAATTTTGTAAAATCAAAAAACAAGGATTTTTATGAATTACACTTCTCCCACTATTGGATAATGTACATACAGGGGAGTCAACGATTGCGCGAAGTAACTTAAGGCCTTGAAGATAAGATTTTTCGGTAGAGTGCTTTTGTGTTACCTATGATATGGTTGATTATTCTCCACATTTTGAAAATATTTTGAATTCTACAGGGTGCGGTCACAAAGTATCGCGCCATGAAGGTACATTTTTTTATGGAACACCTTGTATTTGAATGCATTTTTTA